CTGATTTAAATCATGAAATCTGAGCTGACTTGAGGTCACTCATAAGAAAGACGGTGTCTTGTTTCACCCCGACGTCATTTAACACCGGCTATAAAATCCCACTTCTGTCAGCTCTGTGTGTATCAAGATTTAAATTAATTAATCCCGGGAAATCTTAAATCGTGAGGAAATCGTTAGGTGGGCGTGAATTTTTGTATTTTGGCTGAAAATTTGGGAGGTCTAATGTTTGTGTGGAGCGGACGCGAGTGACCCGGCTGCAGACGGTATTTGTTGCTTTTTGCTGTTAGGAACTTCTGTGATTTTGAGCACTTGTTCCTCTGTGGGCAATGCAAGGTTTTAAGCACTTTGTGTCCTGCCAGATTTTTGACGTTGAGGGCCAGAAGCCCATTAGTAACGTTACATAATAAGCTATATGATAAGCTACATAATAAGCTATATGATAGGCTATATAATAAGCTATTATATATCTATTATATATAGACATATAATATATAATAAGTGTCACAGTCAGTCTAACGCTAAGATACAAACACATGTTTCAACAACTGTCAAAAAATACTGTTATTCTCTTTAAAAAAGTAATGCTGCTTCAGTGTCATTTTATCTACATATACATTAATTTGGGCAACATAATTGTGATTTCCTTATAAATAATAGTTCATGTTGCATTGCTGACAAATATTGTGCAAATGTAATGATCATACTGTGAAATGCGAGAAAGGGCATTGCTTGCCACAAACCACAGAAACTCATACTCTGTCACAGCTAATGAAAAAACAGAATGAGTAATTATTAACAATACCAACAATAATAGCGAGAGGGTATTGATTTTTAAATAATGGGTAAATGAGTCTGTGCACTTTCATTAACTGTGGCAGCTCCGTGGGCGTCACGTCTGGGACGCTATAATCCCCCAAGGATTCCTTGTGGAATCTTCTTGAACAGATTGACTAAAGACGAGATTTGGATGTATCGGTTGCTGGCTGAGGGCCAACGGGGACGTGCTGACTCTTATCCTATGACCTATTATCAAACCAACGTGAATGGATGCAACGGGTTTCTCCAAATCATTGCGTCTCTGTTTTTCACGTTGTTTATGAACTGACATATCGTAGGTTTTTTTTGTGTTCATTGTGTGGTTAAGGGGAATCACGAACAACGCAATGGTTTTTTTTGGTGAGACACACACAAACACCTTTTCGCTGCTTTTTGTGAACAAAACCCTTTTAAGCGGCACCGCAGAAACAAACAACCTTGTCCCGCCATGCGCAGACGTTTGTCTCTGTTTGATTAATCTTGTCGTTTTTTCCACTTTTAGAGCTGGCGGCATCCAAACATTGTCCGGATTTGTTCACAGGGGCAGGAAGGTAAGCCCCTGGCAGCCACCCAGACCCAAGTGAGTGATGGAATGCGTTGCACTTTATATCTGATTCCTGAGAAGGAGAGGCAGCGGACGCTGAACCGGCACGCCGCTCAGAGCACACAGCTGTGACCTGACGTGTCTTTTCTAATGTATTTAACTAAAAAGCGTCCGCTGTTTACGTGTTTTTCTGTTTCAAGTGCATTTGTTGCTGAATAAAAAGTAATTTGATTTCCCCCCCAGAGGTAAAGAGCTCCTTACGGGAAGCGGTTCATGAGAGGAACTGACAGTGCTGGCACATTGTTGGGTGTGATTTAATAAACTCTTAACTTATCAGTTTAACCCGGCACGCGCCTGAAATTTGGACCCCAAATCGCCAAACCGTGTCCTGAAGCAACAAGGGAGTCGATTTCTATTCAATAAACGGTAAATGTTTCCTGCCGCCAACAGGAGGGCATTGGTTCTGATCGGATTTAGTGTAGAATGTGGATGACCATGTACAGCACGTGCGTATGTCTGTATGAGGGTGTGAAGGGAAGTAGTCTAAAAGTAGACATCAAGTGTTTTGACCAACATCATCTGATCCAAGGTCAAACTCTACCAGACACAAGAGGAAATAACTCCCCCTGAAGTCAGAATGTCGGCCCCCATAGAAAAATAAGATGCACGCGTCCTCTCGGGGTGATGACTTTGCCGCGTGTCATTGCGTGTTGTCATCTGTTTACCTCGTACCAACGCGTGCGCATACAGTGATGAGGCTGATTACAGGCGCGCAAAGGTGTCGCGAGGCGAACGGCCTACGAGGCAGAGTGGAGCCCAGCGGCGGCGTCCACACCGGGCCCTTATCGCCACTCCGCAGCGATCCAGAGTGACAGCTCTTTGCAGTGGGAGCTATTCTCGGCCCTCCCGGGTCCGTCGCAGGGGTCTGTTTGTGCCGGAGCTTTTAGAGCAGCACAGGACGCCCGCTGTCACTCGACGGCTGCCGGCAGCCCCGTCCAACCTGTCCTCCGCACCGCCACAGGCCGCCACCCGGCTGCAGATCTCCCGATTCTCTCTCTCTCTTTTTCCCCTATTTTTCCTCTTTTTCGTTTTCTATCCTTATGTCTTGTTCTTTGCTAGCTCCCCAGTAGAATGGAGCGCAGAAAGAAATACAAAGAGCCATTGTGTGTTTCTCTCTTTTCTCGTCCATCAGCTCGTCGGACGGCTCATACTCGAGAAACCACAAAGGGCAGCGAGACATCAGAGATCCGTCCTCTCCTCCGTGCGTTCACATCTCTTAAACTTCAATCTAGATGGATGCTACATGTTATGCAAAGCACCATCACAGACAAACCAATGGCATCACAATGTGTTTGACGAGACGTTTCGAAAGATGTACCATGTACGCAAGTTCAGGGAGTCATTGATCTCTGTCATGTGCTCTCTTCATCTTTGATTTATTCCTCACTGGACGTCTTTACCGTATTTCTTCAGTAGCCACAGAGCTGATTGTTTACAGCCCGGATAAGTCCCGTCTCTGCGACTCAGCGAGCAACAGATCAAAGACGTGGAGGACGAGCACGAGTCTGTGGACGAGGAAAGCCTCAAAGTGCTCAAGTGGTATACCGGTTTACAGATTCTTTCTTTAAGACTTCAACATTAGTTTCTTTAAAGGCTCAACGTATAACCAACTGACAAATTGATTGTTCCTTTCCCCTTCATCATGTGAGACAAACGGTATGTAAGTCAACTATTACTCATGTCTTTGGCCTACTGCTGAGATAACATACAGATCTTTGAGACCCTAACCCCTCAGACAAAGCAAACGTCCGCAACTTAGCGTGTGTGTGTGTGTGTGTGTGTGTGTGTGTGTGTGTGTGTGTGTGTGTGTGTGTGTGTGTGTGTGTGTGTGTACCTTATATTTGGTATGTTTTGTGGAGAGAAATTCTGAACAAGAATAGTTTTCCAGCCACATTCGCACCTCAATAGCAAATCACAGCTGAGATTACGCTTTATGATACCGATGCTGCTTTGCTCAAGGGGCAAAATTGCATTGTCAGAGTGAGCAAAGGAGAGGTGAGTCATTTGAATGTGAATATAAATGCATCTTTTCTCACATGAACTGTGTGGGGAATAGATGCATATAGCACTCAAAGGGTTGGAGGTCAGAAAGCACTCACTGCTATCAGTTTTAGCACCTCACAGTCTGTGCCACCTCACAGTCCCGGGCCATTTATCTGGCGAGTCTTTTCGAATGCACATTGTGCTGCATGCATATGAGGCTCAAATGAAAAAATGCTACCGCTATCTCCAAATCAGCACAGCTATCCACATGCATAATGGAACTAATAGTTCCCCCTGCTAAATGAAGTATCACTTAGAGGACAGAGGATTGCTTCATGCATCACAAAGCTGCACTGATGTGTATTTTGTATGCATTAAAGCACCTGCGATGTCCAATAATGTTTATGAATGACCATTAAAGATGCCATACTGCGAGGCATCCCTCATTCATGGAGTACATCGGCTGAGGCTTCTGCAGGAAGCGTGGATCCCCCGACAGCACTGCAACAGATGTGCGGGGTGGTAATACCTATGTTTCTTTAGCTGTGTGTGTTAGAGGTGTTTATCTAGCCAGCTGTATTTAAGTCGGAATACAAGTTACACAAGGGAGTAAGATATGTTCTCTCGCTTTGCTTGAAGCTGCCTAAGTGGCTCTAATTAGGATCAAAATGAGTTCTGGACCATTGACTCCCACGACAATTCATTTGTATGTTTTTGTTACATAATGTGGAGACTGGTGCACAATTAGACACATTTTCCTAATGCACAGTACAGGATGCATGCTTGAAAGCTCTTAGAATAGCAACGTCCATTGTGAAATAAATGTATGAACAAGAAATGTAAACATGTATTATATATATATATATATATATATATATGTTTATGGCTTTACTATATTTGATAAGTATGTGTGAGGACAGAATATTATTTTTTGTTTTTTAAAACATGCTTCATTTTTTCTTTCAATTTGTGTTGGATTCATTTAACTGAGCCAATGTCGTCTGCAGAGAGCAAAACACTTTCACACAGAATTAACTGCAACAACCACACACCTTTGACAGCATGCAGAGTAATTTAAAATAAGGGTTCTTTGTATTTGTACACTGTAGTATTCCCTGCATCCGTGTTGCTTCTCATTAATCCGCCACAATATACAGTTTTGTTTTGATTGTATGCAGCAAAAACCTATTTTGTAACTAAAATAGTTTGGGAGACTGTGCAGTATTTGTGATCATGCAGTTCCTGTGATGTCAACGTATCAAACCGTGCATCGTGCAAATGTAGATGCAGTTGACATGAACTCAACTCACGTTACAGCGCAACGTGTGTTTGGCAGACGGAGCTGCTTCTGATAACAGCTATTTGAACAGTAGCGATAGTCCCACTAACTGCAGCTGCTGGAAGTCTGATTCCAGAAATTAAACCGTCCCGACATGTGAGGAAAAAAAGTGACCGAAAAAAAGTCGTTTAAATTGCACTCCGAAAGAAACATTTGCACGCTAAATAATATGAAAAAGCAGCGATATTGTTTTAAAAAGTTAATAATATATTTCATTTATTTTTAAATATCATCAGATTAAATATTTGTAAAATTTACCGTTGGCAGCCCCGGATTCCGCTGATGTCTCCAATGTGTAGTGTTCATCCTCTGGGCAGCATCTGGCAGACAATATTTCCTCCCACTTCAGGAGACTCCGCTTTAATCCAACTTTCAAAATAAACTAACGCGTGCGTGTTAGTCCTCCGTCCTGTCCGGCGGCGAAGACCCTAACGCTCTTTTTTTGTTTTTTAGTTGTTTTACCTCTCAAATAAAAGGTCTTGGAAGGGTAATTCAATTGAAAGAGTTACACGTCTGGTCGTGGTTGACACGAGCTCCGCGCTGCTGTGTGACGTCACAGGGATGGGTGGTCGTTGGGGGGGTGAGAAGGAGGGGGGGGGGGGGGGACCAGAACGGAGACCCCTCGTGCATACGCGTGTTCGTGTGTGTGTTGCACATATTGACCGATTTGTCACCATCATGATGTGTCGGAAACAAGCCAAATAGGACTTTCGCCCCAATGAGGGTAAACGTGTTAAATCACACCGCGTGTTGGACACATTACAAGCTGTATGCAAATGTGTCTTAAATATGCTAATCAAGTCCCGCGTTTTAAATAAGGGATAATTCGTATACAATTTCTCAACCAAAATAAGCGATAACGATATATTTAGAAGGACTATAAATGATATGAATTGAGGAGACTCAAAAAGTGCAATTTACAAGAAAAGGGGACGGTTCAACATTTTGGCAGCTGTGTTGATTGCTCTCTTCTCGAGACTTAGATGAGAAGATACTGACATCTGTAAAGGTAACTTAATTTAGCTCAGCATTATTACACAAATTAGTACACTGTTAGTACAAACAAGATCTCACTGTCAGCACCGCTAAAGATGACCAATCAATGCCTTGTATCTCGTTTCTCCATCGATATAAAAACAGTTGTTTATACAAAAACAAGCCTTCATAGCTTCATAGGTCCCGGTAGAGTTTGTCAGACAAAGGAGGCTGTTTCCCTCTGCTAACTTAGCTTAGTCCTAATGCTAAGCTAAGTTAGCAAGCGGCTGGATGGAGCTTCATACCATTCAGACATGAGAGCGCTAGAGCTTCTCATCCAATTGCCGGTTTTCAAATGTGTGTGTCTGTATGTCTGTCTGTGCGTGTGTTGTTGTGTGTGTTCCTAATTCATTTGCGAAAAAGGTTGTCGTCACATCTCTAATGGGCACGCAGTTGTCGTCTTGCAAAAATAATTTGGTGCATTTTTACCCTTAGTGAGACCATTTCATTTCATCTACATAGCTAATGCTTTGACTTTAATCAGAGGTTCGGGGGCAGGAATAGCTATTTGTTGTATATAGACTGTGATGCGCCACACGGTCAGATGGATGCGGTGATAAAGGATCCAACAGAGAGAGTTGTAAAAATACATAGAATACCATCAGAATATCCAGACTTAAACGGGAAATCTTTGCGATCCCTGCGGTCGAGCCTGACATTTTATCAAAAGACACAGTCAGAGTTTCTTGGACCCCTAATCATCTAATCAATAACCTTGTCTTATTTGACTGCATATCGCAAATAAGGTATGAGTGCATCGATGGATTCATGCTGTTGCAGTAAATCCCTGAGCAAAACATTGTGTTTCTTCCTGAAAAACAAACACAACGACATATATTTTTTACATGAACTTTGCACCTCAACAAAGTTGAAGGACCTTCTGCATGTGTCAATAAATGGCAGAGTTGAAGCAAAGAGTCGGACAAATGTCCCCCAACTGCTGAGAGATTATAAATAACAGCATCTAAATCAGCCCGGCTACAGAGAACAAAGGTCACCATGGCACCACATCTGTATATTTATAGGCAGTAAACCCCACACAGAATAAGAAGTGTCTGAAAATGCAACACAAACAAATGGAATTATCAGTAATTCTTGAAAATCGAGCTTGAGGGCACAATAAGAAAAACACATTAGGTCTACTCACACAGTGCTATGCACGTGTGCATGGGAGTGTGTGTGTACAGTATGTGTGTGTGTGTGTGTGTGTGTGTGTGTGTGTGTGTGTGTGTGTGTGTGTGTGTGTGTGTGTGTGTGTGTGTGTGCGTGCATGGCCGGATTTAATCATTGGCTGTTGATTTGTTGGAACAAATTCAATTTCAATGTTTCAACTTAAGTCACACACATTCCCATTTTTAGATGTAGGCCTAGTGATGTTTTTAGGAGGAGGTTGAACATGGCTTTCAATTTCTCATATTGAGTTTATCAGTTAAATGAAATAAAATAGTGTGTTCTGCCACTTGGTGAAACAAATAACCTGGTAAGTTGAATTCTGAATCAATAAACATCTCATTCCGTAGAGAGGTGCTCAATAAATAACTATATTAAATAAAATGCTCAAAAAAACAATATTAGTCGGATAATGAACATTTCTATTGGAAATAAAATGGGTTTATACAACATAAATGCATATCATCATGTATGGGATCAGATATATTATTGACGTTTCCCCTATGAGCTGCTACTCCAGAACAAACCTTTTCTGCCAAATCTACTGTTTGCCTCATGCCAACCTGATACAATCCCACTGGGAACGATTTCTCCTTCTGAGAGCAGCTCATCGACATCGTTTCAGTTCCTTTGGATTAACATGTAAACAGAGACTGCACCAACACAATCAATAAATTATGGCAAACGTCTTATCATTGGCTTACTACAACTGATGGTCAACCTCTGAAGTGATTTACAGCCTCGCAAGTCAAGAAATGTGCTTTTATTTTCCCACAATTTAAGACTTGTTCCACCAATGGAAAACATCTGGTAAGAAGAGGAACATTGTGGAGACTAATCGGTAAATGAACATGGTAGATGGTAAATGGATTGCTACTTGATTCTTGGCACCTTCCACCTCCTCGAAGGGCTTTTACAGTTCAAGTATGAGTCATCATGTGTCATCAGTCACCCACACATTGATACACTGATGGATACCATGCAAGGTACCACCAGCCCATCAAACGAGATCAGGATTTGCTGTTGAGAGAGGTTCCCGATCACTTAATAATTTGGTTTGCAAATTAATTACTTTCATATTGCGAGCAAAGTGACATGATGACTGATTTGGCTTTCAGGTGTGCTTCTCTGCGATCTCCCTGACACCCGGGCATCATCATCTGTGACGCCTGTACCGCATGTTAAATGTACCTGCCGCGCTAATCAACACTGCCCCCTATGGTCAGTTCAAGGTTGCGTGTCAATACAAACAAAGACGTAAATAAACAGACATATGTAAACAGATAATGGGGGTATTCCAGAAAGGAGGTTCAACAAACTCTGAGTCTATCCTTGAACTCCGAGTTGACTTACTCTGAGACGGGAAACTCTGAGTATTGTTGTATTCAAAGATGAAGAAACGGCAGACGGACAGAGGTCATCGCAGATCAAAAGGTTAAATCAAATGTATTTAATAAAAGAGATGGTGTTGTGGGAAAACGAACATCTCAGCTGTCTTTTACCATGGTGATTGACTCAGAGTTTCACTTACCTCTCTATCTGGAACGGATAACTCAAGAGTTTAACAGTTAACTTACTGTGAGTTTTCACATAACCCGCTTTCTGGAATACCCCCAATGTCTCCTACACACTATTGTGATGGTACCCAGATTCAGAATAAATAACTCTAATCTACTTAAACTACTTTTACTAAATGTAAACCATTTACAGTTTGTTGTAACGATTAACCCACTTGTGTAAACAGTGGAGTTAAGGACAAAAACATTTGCGCGTTTTCGTCAACGCTACAAACGTCTGATATTAAACACGGTGCTACAGCAGAGGAACACACAGCACACTCCATATCTTTCTCTTTTTTCTGGAGTCTATGTAGGCTGCTACCTCCACATGTTCACATTACAGCACATACATCTGTTAATGTTTGAAGAGAGAGATTAGCCCCCCCGCAGAGGGAAATGGGAACATGGGACGTATATGCTTGAGATGATGACATGGCTTTCTGGTTTCGGAACAGGTTACAACAAGAACCTCAATAGATAACAGGGCAGGTTTTATGTGCCTCCAACAGAAGCTGTTTAGGTCGCTTGAAAAAAATAGATAATTCCTTCCAATGTTGGTACGATGTTTGTTTACATCAGAAATAAATAGCCAATGCAAATACGTGTTCAGACAGGGTTTAAAAAAAAGAGAAGAAAATCAACAGCTATTGGGAGCTCCCGGCAAGTTCTGAAAGAGAAAGCTGGCTGCCGCAGTGAACAGGTGACAGCAGTGTTTGTTTGGGTCAGCTGTGGCCGAGCCGCCGGCCCCTCGGGGACCTGTTTGTTTTCAGAGTCTGGTGACACTCTTTGAGCTCTTCATCTGGCATTTGGCAGGTCTTTCTTTCCATGCGAGACAATGACGCGGTGATAGTAGTAAATAGTAAAATGCTTTCATGGCTTTGTTTGTGATTGGAGGCCTTTATACAATTGCTTGTTTTCCTTCGTAATCCAATAGGGGACAATGCTGGATAATTGAAAGGCCCTCAGTGTAAGGTGGGTCAAACCAGTGGCCAGTAAATACCTTCATACAGAAGCTTCATGCTCCACACCTTCATTATTCAACACATTAGGGTTTTAATAGAAGGCGTGTAAATTTGGGCTTCATCAAAGTTTGACCTCAAATGCTTTAGTTCACTTAGGTGAACAAGTGTTAGGGATTTAAGCAAGAAGTGCGCCCCTAGTGGTGAGAATTATTATACGTGTAAAAATGTTTAGTGTTAGAATTGTGTGTTATTAGATATTAGTTATTACATTAACATGTTAGATGAAGTGAATGCAATATGAATCAAACGCAATTTATAGTCATGTTAATCATATAAACACTGTACACATTAACATTCTGCCAAAAAACCCTCTTTGGGGATAAAACTATGGCATCCGTCCCCAGTGTTTTTTGGGAGTTTTTTCTCCTGTCAGGTAGTAGATGAGCAACTGAATGTAAGGAGTGAGGCCTCCCTCGAGGGCTTTCCGAACCCTTAACACAAGTGATACTTTTTTTCAATAGGGCCTTAAAAATGTGTATGCCAGGTTAAATTACGTTTTAAAGAATTTAAACGTCCATTTGTATGAAAGAATATTGTCAATAAGAGGGCATTTCCATAATGGAGCATTAAGACAATATCCAGTTTGAGACACATTTAAAAATATAGATTTTTTGCTTTTAAACAGTCTCTGATTCAGAAGAGCTCAAATAACCAACAAGGCCACGTGTGAACAGCCAATACGCGAGTGTTTCCCTCAAGAGTTTACGTGTTGGTGGCAGATCTGCATCAGCGGCACAGCAAAGAGAGCAGCTGATAGA